AGAGATGCAGGGCCGTCCGCCCGTCCCCGTCCCCGTAGGTCTCGTTCACCTCTTCCTTGGACCCGTGGGCCAGGAGCATCACCAGCAGCCGCAGGTCGTCTTCCACCACCGCTCGGAGCAGCTGCTGCCCCAGCGGCACGTCCGAGCTGGGCAGCGGGGCCAGGAAGAGCTTCTGCTCGTACTTGGCCCGGATCCAACGCTCCTTCTCCTCTCTGCGAGCACAGGAGGGGCCGGGCCGGGGGTGAGGGGGCCGCAGAGGCGAGCCTGAGGGACCCGGGGGCGTCAGGGGGCAGCGGGCGGCACAGAGGGTGTGGAAGAAGTGGAAGAGAACTCCGGGGGAGGCCCCTGGGGGCCGAGAGGGCAGGAAGATTCCCGGCAGGGCTCGGGTGGCAGCTTATCTGGCCCTGCAGGAACAAAGGAGGCGGGGGCCCGCGCTGGGGGCCCACGCACGACCCTATCTACCACCCATTCTCCCCATCTCAGAGCTCAGGCCGTGGCCGCCTTCGCGCCACAGAGCGATAGGGCCCTGCGCATGCGCGCCTCCCGCTGGCCCCCTGACCTGCTGATAACGCTGAGAAAGGGCCCGTTGTTGTGAGGCGCTGAGTGACAGGAGGGGGAGGGGCACCCCCAGGGGCCCACTGCCAAGCAGAGCAACGGCCGGGCTTTAATTAACCCTTCCAGCCCTGTCACAGCTGCCCGGCCCCACCCCCAGTTCTCCCCACCTGGCAGGAGCGCCCACGTCCCCGCCCTCGCCGGCCAGCGCCAGGGCCCCCGCCCTCACCTGCAGGCGTCGGGCCCCGGCTTCGCGTAGCCATCCAGGGCCCCCTCCCAGACACTGTTGGCCAGGGCATTGCCCATCGCGGTCATGACGGCCAGCAGCTCAGGTGGCCAGTCATCGAGGTCGAGGGAGCGGACCCGGGACAGGTGAGCCCCCAGATGCCGGTGGGTCCCCGAGCACTCGATGCACATCAGGGCGCCCAGGTTCAGGCTGGCCCAGTCTGGATCTAGGTGCGGAGAGAGAGCAAGATGAAGCCCACGGGCAACCAGAGCGAGACCACCAGGAAAGTCCTCCCTCCCTGCCGCTGTTCTCGGCCTACGAGAGGCCTCCTGCAGCGCTTCCTCCACAAAGCTGGTCGCGCTTTCTCTAAGCCACCCACAAGCCCGGCCCCGCCGGCCCGGCACTCACTGGGGGCATCGCAGTCAATACAGAAGCTGTTGCCACGAACGGTGCGCACGGCCTGCACAGCCAGAGCTGCATTCTGGTTCCCCAGTCGAGTCTGCCTCGGGGGGAGAGGCAGGGGTGGCTGGTCAGTCGCGAGGCCAACCTGGGACCCCACCCCACCCGGGCCTCTGGGCCAACCTTGTCCTTGGCGCTGCGGCAGCCCTGCAGGCTGGCGAGGATCTGGGCCTGCACGCTCTGTACCCACAGTTCCCGCTCCTCTGCCGTCGAGGCCTCGAAGTGCCACGTCTGCCCGGTGAGGGACACCACCACAAACTCGAACGACTCCTCGGCCTCTGTGGGCACAGGGACACGCGCCGGCATGAGGGCAGAGGGCCCCTGCCGGCACGCACGTGCAGGGACACGCCACCCCAGCCTCGAGGACCGCTCTCTCCGGGGCACCTTGCGGGGAGTCGGGGGCAGAGCGCCGTGTGGAGCCCCCAGACCTCCGTCCTAGCCACCTGCGGAGCCTGGGAGAAAAAGATGGGGAAGCGAGGTTCTGGCATCCCTGGCACTGCTGGGAATGGGTCTGGAAAGCAGAGGGTTGCTTCCTGGGGAAAGCAGAGCTGAGTATCTGGAGGATGTGATGGGGCGTTAGGAGACAGTGCTGGGGGGGGGGGCGGCGAAGGCGGGGGTGGGCACCATCCGTACATGTCAGCTGCAGCCGCCTCATTTTGCAGCTCATTAAACCCAATATTCCTGACGGCGTCAGCGTGGGGCTCCTGGGAGCCGGGCCCCTCCCCCGCTACCCTGGCACAGGCAGGCAGGGAGGGCAAGGGGATGGGGAGAGGAGGAGAGGTTTCCTCCACAGACTAACTCGGATGTGTGAGCAGATAGGAACCTGAGGACATCTGCAGTGACAGACACTTCCCAAGCAGTGCAGTGAAGCTGTTCCCAGCTCTGCTCCCCCAGGCCCCCCAGGAGACAGTCACGTGGATCTCCTTCCCGCCGGTCACCGCCCCGTGGGTGAACGGTTCCTAACAAGCAGTGCAAGTGTGTCCTGCGGCTGGAGAGACAGGTGCCTGTGAGGAGGCCCAAGTGAGACCACACGTCCTGCCAGGGCAGCCTCCCGCCCCAGTGACACTGGCCATGCCCTCCCCGCCCACCCCCACCCCCCGCCAAGGGAAGTCCTCCTGGTGGGCTCCTGCTCTAAGGCGCCCTTAACGGAACTGTCTTCGTAGAGAAACTGGTACCTTTCTTTCCCCAGGCTCCACCATTCCACCTCACCTCGCTTCCAACCATCTCTGAACTACATAACGGTGACAGTCTGTGGGGTTCAGTTCCCTGGTACAGGTGCACCCCGTGCCATGAGCGCTGAGCACCCCTGTGTCACCGGTTGGCTGGGAAAGGTGGCTCCTTCCCTTAGAGATGATCTCCCCCACCGAGCCACGCCCCTAACCCTGACCATCAGAGTATAAACCAGCAACTGCGCATCAATGTAGGTTAACCTTATTTAGGAGCAAGGACGCTCCAACCACTGAGAAGAGGCACATTCTGAAGATACTCTGGGGAAAATCAGAGAAGCAGCGCTATGATTAATAAGGGATTACGAGAAAGGACCTATGGAAAAATAGCTGAGGAGCTGGAATTCCTCAGCCTAAAGACGACTAAGGAGAGGCTCAGCCGAACACGCACGCGTATGAAGCACCTGTTTCGCGCCCAGCACTGCTTAAACTCAATGGAAGACACACAGAAAACATGGGTCCTGCCCGCACCCCCTTGGAAGAGCTGCGGGGGGAGTAGCGGCCTGCTGTCTTTTACCTTCTGTAAGAATAAAACAAGTAAGCTCACGTTTTCACAGGAAGGCTTTAAGTTAGGCAGAAGAAAGAGCTCTTCTAAGATACCAGGCTGAGGTGACCAGAAGCGGTGGAGCTGCTTTTACTGGAAATTACTATTAGAGAGTGCTTTTAGTCTAATACAGAAAGGGGGACCCTTCAGGTACTATCCCCAAGTCCCGCTGCCCGCCTCCTGTGCCCCGTTTCCCTCGCGGGTCCCCCTAACCTTCAGCAGCACCGCTGGGGCCGTCTGGTCGGGGGGTCCCGGTGCTCTTTTTCCTCCGGTGCTTCTTCCGGTTGGAGTGGGGAGATGGGGGAGGCTCCAGCTTGGGGCTGGAACTGAGCACCTCGGCTGGGCCACTGGCTGGTGAGGGAGAGGTGGAGAAGTGTGGGGACAGGGGAGGGGCCAGCACAGGCCCTGCCCGGGGTGCTGGGGGCTCCACCCTGAACTGCAGCCGGGGCAGGGGGAAGGGGGGGCACTCCCGCCCTGTCCGCACCCCGGGAGGGGTCTGCCCACAGGCCCCAAGGCGCCCCCGGCCTTGGAGGAAGGGAGGGTGGAGAGGAGCGTGTAGGAACCGCAGGCAGGGCAGAGTGAAGGTGCGGAGGGAACCGGCTTCTGCAGCCTGGAGGGCGGAAGGCGGCCGGGGGCTGGAGACCCAGCAGCTCCGCACCAAATTTATCCTCAATCACACTCCCCGCTCCTCACAATTAATAGCAGAATTAGAAACAATCAGGGAGCTGCCTAATTACTGTCAATTAGAGCGCGCTAATCAAGCTCCCGTCTCCCACACCCCGCCCGACGCTCACCACTAAATGTCAAACTTCATTAGAGGCAGACACGCGCCCTCCCTCCCTGCCTTCCGCCTGCCAGACTCAACAGAGGGGCCCCACCAAGGCCAGCACAGGCCGCAGGACGGTGACCCGGGAAGGGCCCCCCGCTGCCCTCTGGGGCCTCTACATCCACCGGCCAGAGGCCTGGGCCTGGCCGGGCAGGTGACGCAGGCCCGGGGCCGTGGGCGCCCAGCCGCTTCCTGCTGTCAGAGCTCAGGCCGGGCCGGCGCTTCTGCTGGGATGCGGGCCTGGGCAGGGTCTCTGGGAGGCAAGTCGGGGAGGAGAGCTAACGCGCTGCTGCCCAGCAGGAGGGACGCGGGAGCAGCAGTGTGCCCGGCGCCCAGGGAGTCTCCTCCCTCTCACACCCTCACTCAGGAGAGGAGGGCCGGGCTGCGCCCATTTCCCTCTAGCCTTCAGGACTGCTGAGGGATGTGGGGCTACGGGTGAGTGAGGAGAGCGCGCAGAGGTGCTCGCTGCAGAGGCGGGGGAAGAAGTAAGGGGAAGCCGAGGCACAGACGCTGATGAAGGGAAGAAGACCACGAGGCCAGGGAGAGCAGGCGGAGGTGGGAAGGGAGAGTTCTCGACCACCCAGACTGGGTGGGGCCTCAGCCTATGGGGGCAGCGCGGGGGAGAAAGCGCCTCTCCGGACAGCTCCCTGATCCTGTCTGCGGGGACCCCGCTCCACGCGGGCTAGCTGCTGCCTTCGGAACGTGTTTCAAGCCCCCAGCCTCCGACCTCCCCACTCAGCCGCTCCCCCGCACCCCCCCCACCCCGCGGAGAGGCTGATGAGCTGGCGGCGCAGGGGGCTGATGGGGATGGACAGCGGTGGGCGGGCAGGGAGCTGCAGAGGGAGGGTCTCTAGCGCCAACCGCTGGCGCGGGCCTGGGGACAGCACAGGGGCAGCCACCCCAACTCCACGCCCCAGGCGTGGCACCGGCTCTGCCACAAGCCCTGGAGGGCTCCGCCGCGCCCCCTTGCCCATCTCGGCCTCCCCGGCTGCCCTCCGCTGCGGCTTCACCGGGTCCTGCATACCTGGGGGCAGGGCAGCGGCCTCACTCCACTGGTCGGCGCTGGAAACAGAGCAGGAGCGCTGATGCAGCCCCTCTGGGCGCGGGCCGGCCCAGGCTGGGCTGCTGGCCGAGTGGGGGGCACCTGGGGGGGGGGGGGCGGAAGGGTCAGACTGGGAGGGGAGGCCGGGGGAAGGGCACCCATAGACTTTCCTGAAAGTACAGCTACGGGCAGAGCTTGAGAAATCCCAGCAGGATACTGACCCAGGATGAGGCGCTCCTGGATTCACCAGGCACCGGGCCAGGATCACTGGAGAACCGGAGGCCTCCCATGGGCCCAGACTTCACACCCCCCCTTGTCTCCATGAACATCAGGGTCCACGCCTCTGTCCCCTCCCTGTGATCAGGAGCCAGAAGCTGGGTGAGTGGGACAGTCCCCCCATCACTGCCGAGCTGCTCCCCTGCTATCCCAGCCCCTGCTCCTCCTGGCCAGGCCCCGAACCCCGTTCCAGGCCCGTATGCCATTTGCCGTGCCTCAGCTTTGCTGCCATTCTGACGAGGAATAAGTGTATCAAATTCAAGTAATTATGTCTAATTAGTATTAGTAATTATCCTCTGGGGCTGGAGAAAATTAATCTTTCGTTTCCCATCGGGGAAGAACAGCAGAGCCAGGGGAATCGAAGGCTCCAGGAGCACCAAGCCCGGGGCGGTGGGGGCAGCAGTGCGCGCCCTCCCCGGGCCCGAGTCACCCGTGGGAAGATGGTGGCAATGGCCCCCGGGCCCCAGGGCCAGCCGTGGACAGCGACACTGCCCTCTCACCTCAGCCGACCTGAGACAGGGTGGGGCCTGAGGCCAGAAGGCCACGGCCGAGAGAGGTCTGCACTCAGAGCTGGGCAGCTGGCCGGGTGCCCGGGGTTAGTGACAGGCAGAGACGCGCCCTGAAGCTGAACAAGCCGGAGGGAGGGGCCAGCGGCCGACACCAGGCCCCGGACCAGCCCCGCAAGCACAGGGGTCAAGTTTCTGGAATCCAAGGGACAGGAAGATGCGCGCGGAAGCCACTAGAAGGTAAAGGAACAGGCTCGCTCCGGGGACAGCACGAGACTGAATGGTGGGGGCGGGTTTTGTGTTTCTCCTGTATCTGTCATAACACCCCAGGCAGGACCAGACACACAGTTAAGTAAGTGCTTGTTAACATACGTGTGGCACCCGTGCCAGCTCCTCCCACCCTGCCTAACAGGTCCCTGCAAAGTTAGCCTTTCTTGGGGTCCCCCCGCACCGACCCCCATCAGGAAACCTTCCAGGGGAGCAGCCTAGGGTCTTAACTTCTCAGATGCTGTGCTTCTCGCCACCCCTCGCCTGCTTCCATCTCCCCCCGCGCCCCGGGTTCCAGATCTTATTCCCCCCTCCCCCCAGCCCCACCCAAAGACAGCACAGGCCCAAGTTCCTCCTCAAGCCCCCCAACCCAAAACCCCGAGGGAGGGAAAGCGCTTTCCCTTTTCTTTGTTAATTCTCCCCTCATTACGCCTGCAATCCCACAATCAGTGCGCACCGTAATTGTCGAATTTGATGCTAATGATTAATGAATTAAACATGGAGCCATCAATTAGTCCTCGGAGAATAATTCTGCATAAAGCAGCGGATAATGTAATTACAGTAACAAAGATAATGAGATGTTAACATCGCCCGGTGAGCGGAGACATGTGTGAGTGTGTGCGAGGTCGGCACGCGGCGGAGGGGACGCGGCTCCGGTGGCGCCTGGCCATGTGTTCCGGGGACGTCGGCGAGCGTTTGCGGGTACTGGCAGTTACGTGGGTGAGTGTGCCGCGCACCCCCTTCTCCATGCACCACTTCCGCTCCCCAGGTGAAGGTCTTCAGGGACCAGGAATGTGACAGGACAGAGTGTCTTAGGGCTTCCCTTCCTCTGAGGGAACAGCTAGCTTTCCCCTTGCTGCCTGCCTGCCTGCCTGCAAGGAAAGGCTCCCCTTCCATGCTCCCTCTGGTGTCATCTGAGAAACCCCAAGCCAGTCCACAGGCAGCTCCGCGAGGTCCCAGCCCCGCCCCGGCCCTTCCCTTCCCCAGCGGCCCCGCCCCTGCCCCTGCCCCACGCAGAACACCCAGGACCCGCCTCCCCGCCCCCAAGTGCAGCCCCACAGGCCGCTCCTGGCGCCCTACCCATCTTTCTTGTCTTTCTGTCCTTAGCTTCCTTCCTTCCTTCCCTCCGTCCACTAGCTCCCTCTCTGTCTAATTCAAGGGCTTAGAGGACAGAACGTAGCTTCCCAAGTCAGGCCCGCGCAGGTTCAAACCCAGCTCCACCACTTCCTGTGGGAGTTTTCAGACACGTTATTTAACTTCTCGGAACCTTTGTTTCCTCATCCACACAGCATGGGGAGGACAGTCTCGACTTCAGATCTACCGCAGCCAGCACCCCTCCACCAGCGGGGCCTCCAGACTGGGGGCAGTGGTGGCGCACGCGCAGCAGGGCGGGGTGTCGGCTTCTCAGGGCCTCACCTCCAACAAGGAGCACACTCAGGGCCCTCACCTCCAACAAGGAGCACACTCAGGGCCCTCACCTCCAACAAGGAGCACACTCAGGGCCCTCACCTCCAACAAGGGGCACACTCAGGAGGCTCCACCTCTTCTGGACACGGGGCAGAGTCCGCTCGGCCTCCAGCTTCTCTCTAAACTCAGTCTTCTCTGAGCAAAGACCCCCCCCCCCCGCCTCTCACTGCAGACCTGAGGACGGTTACCAGGTTTGTCCCAGGCAGCTCTGTCCCCTCCCGCCTCCCTCCCTGCCCGCCCGGCAAACTTGACTGAGATGTGGCCCTGGTGCCAGAGGGCCCCGGTGTCCCCAGCATCACCTGCCTCGGCTCCAGACGCTGATGCCACCTGTCAGCACGAGGCTATCTGTCCCCATTCTGATCTGCCAGGCGGTCCACTGGCCGCCACCTCTACTAACCGCACGAGGGCAGCGTTTTGGCAACTGCGCTTGGCTGAGCTGATCCCGAAGCAAGACACCGGGTGGCCGGCGTGTTTGGAGCCCTGAGGACCTGGCTGGGGAGGGGTGCAGCCCCACACGCCTCCCTTCCGGGCCCCGTCGCGGCGCGCCCCACCCCCCCAGACAGACGGGGCCACGGCAGCCACACGCCCCCTCCCACCTCAGCAGCCCCCTCACCTGTTCCCCCACCCAGCTGCGCGCTACTCCGCTCCAAGGCCATCCCGTTGGCCCGGGGGCTGGCGCCAGGGGCCGTGGCCGGCGTGGCTCGGGGCAGGCGCTTCCCTGGCACTTTGACCGTGGTCCGCAGCAGGTCAATCTCCTTGCCGTGGATGTTCTGCATGTAGTCCTAGGGCCACGTGGACAAGACAGAGGAAGACTCGTTAGGACAGGTCACTCTTAGGCAGCACCTCATCTCTGACCCTCCCAACTCCTGGGTCTCTCCCCCGTGCTGCTGGTGGGGGTGGGGGGGAGGAGGGGGACAGCCCGAGTTCTGTGGCGCGTACAGCACACCTCCAAGGCTGCCCGCGTGCGGCTCGGTGCGGGGCTCAGCCGGGAGCGGGGCAGGGGCGACAGAGGGTGGAGAGCCAAGATCTGAGGCTCGGGGCTCCTTTAGGGAAGAGGGCTCAGGAGGCAACGAAAAGGAGGCCAAGTACTGAATGAACCAAGATGGGATTTAGGGAGAGACGGCACGTGGTCGAGGAGAGGAACTGACAGGCTCCGCGGGATGTGGACGACTGGGTTGCCCCGGGCCCCGGGTGGCTGGTCACCAAGGACTTCAGCCCTATTTTCAGAAGCTCCCACCACCACTTGGGACTTTGAGAACTTACAAAGCCTAGAGCAGCCCCCAGTCCTTAGAATGGCGCCTGACGATAAATGTCTGTTGAACAGTTAAAGGGAAGCCTTTGATTCTTTCTGCTGTTCTTAGGGATACTGAGACAAGTCCACGGCTCCACAGGTACCAGTGAGTATCCCAACGGCAGGAACAGTAACAACCACTGACAACATCACATCGCCCACCCAGCCACGCGCCAGGTGTCCACTGAGCCACAGCTGTATATCACGTCTACATTTCATACACCGCCTCACGGGATCGTCACGACAGCTAGGAGGACGGTGTTACGATGCCCACTTTGCGGGTGAAGAAACTGAGACTTACAAAGGTTAACCTGCCCCAGGTCACACAATCAGCGGGTGACAGCCAGATTCAAGCCCAGGCTTTCTGGGTTCCCAAGGCTCTGCACGGAAGGCAAACTTCCTCCTCGGCCCAAGAGCAAACCCTGCCTTCAAGTCAGTACCGATAGGGCCCTGGAACTGGATGAGTGGGGAGGATGAGTGGGGAGGGACCCTGAGGGTGGGAGCCACTGGGTGCCGAGCCCCACCATCCGCTGTCTCGACCTCAGCCTGGGACCGCCCCACCCCAGGGAGTGGCACCTGGAGGGGCCGGGGGGCGCGGGAGGTGGGTGACGCAGAGCACAGCCCTGCCCGCCCTCTGGCTGGCTGCCTGCCGTGAGGCCCGCCCGGCCTGGGCCCCGCTCTCCCTGCTGCTCTGATCTCTCCTTCCAGGCTGCCGACTCCTGCCTCCCTGCCCCTGGCACCAGCGAGTTCCGGGGCAGTTCCCAGCAAACGTCCTCCGTAAAATGTGGCAAAGGCTCCTTCCGGGGGCAGAAGCTGGGCCAGTGGCAGCAATTTAACTTCGGACGGAATTCCACCGATCAGACTCGGGATGGGCGCCTCTCCTCCCTCAAGAGAGCCTCTGGGATGTTCTGCACCCAGGGCGCTTCCCTGAGCGTCTGGCTCGATGGAGTCTTCGTGTCCTTCCAGGCCCCAACCCTCTCACCCTACCCACTTGGAGCATCACTCCTGGTCACCCAGGTGTTCTCCTACCTTCTCAACTTTTAGCTTCAGGGAAAAGGGACAATGTCCTCTGCTCAAAAGAGCCGATGGGGAGTGCTGCCTGTTGGGAAGCAGGGCCCGGGCGGGCTGGCAAGGGGCTCAGGGGCTGCCCTCACCCTGTGAATGAGCAAGAGGACATCAAGGAGAAAGGGGCCACCTGGCCCTGAGGAGCCAAGAGAACGTGGGAGCTGCCCGTTAGGAAGAGAAGTGAGAACAAGGAAACAGAGCACCCAGCACCAGCCCTGCTCCTGCACTTCTGCGTCGGGCTGGAATTCACCACAGGGCGGGTCATCAGGGGACCAGCGCGAGGGCCTGTGGCAGGACTATAGCAGGAGGGCCGTGGGGAGGCCGGGGCACCGCCGATACTAGCACGCTGGCCTCACCAGTCAAGCCCGGCTCCCGGAGGCCTGGCCAGGCCTGTAATCACTCTTCACTCTCCAAGCAGCTCTGACACCTTCACAGGCAGACGGCCCTCCAGAAAGACAACAAGGGCACAGCCAGCCGGAGGGGAGGAGCTCCTTTCCCTGCAGCTTTGCGCTGCGTCCGTGCCCTCCTGCCACCACTTAGTCCTGCGTGAGGGACAGTGCCGGGTGCCTGGCCTCAGGCACCCTCCGCTCCGAGGGGGTCTGTTTCATGTCTCAGAAGCACAGAACAACATCACTGAGAAGTCGGTGAGGGTGGGCTCCACCCACGGGAGGACCCCCTCTCCTCCAACGACCTCTCACCCCCGCTCTGCCGAGCACCGCCAGGGCTCCGTCCCCCTGGTCCCTTCTCCAGCAAACTTGGCCCCACCCGGTGGCCGCTGGCCCTTTGGTCCTGCTCTCGGCCCAGCATCCAGCGTGTGACTCCACCCTCCTGGCCCTCCTCACTCCAGGCCCGACAGCCCGCCGACTCGGCTTCCGCACGCACCCAGGACCCTGCACACAGTCACATCTTAGCTCAGCGGCTCCAGACGACTGTCAACAGCTGGCTGGGCCGAAGGCACAGCTGCAGTCCCTTTCCTGGGGGAGGGGCTTGGGCTGCTCTAGTTCACAAGGAGGTCACAGCGGCTGCAACAGCTTTCAGGCCCCACGACGGCCCTGGGAAACCAGGCTGGGACACGGCGGGAAAAGCTGACCCCAGGCCAAGAAAAAGAGCCACACGGAGGGACTCTGTTCAGGGCCAAGGAGCCAGCAACCAACGTAAGGGGAAAGCACCGGCCCTCAGCATCTCCGACCACCTCGGACGGGCACTGGTTGCTCGGGGGGTGTGGGGAGCAGGCCAGCACCCGGCCAGCTGCAGGCCAGGCCCAGAGGCGGAGCCCGGCCCCAAGGAGAGTGCGGCAGGAGCTCAAAAGGCAGCAGCAGGGACAGGGCATCCGGGGCAGAGCAACGGCGTTTCCCTCCGTCAGCAGAACGGGGGCTCGGCAGCAGCGGTGGGAGCGGCTGCTCAGAAGAGCGGTCACCACGGCTGCCTTTATTACCCACCATCAAACAGCAGTTTCTTCCCCAGCCTCCTCGCTAATTACCCAGCCAGCGTTCTCATCTCGTTTTATTACTGGAATTAACAACGAGTTCAGAGCGTGGAAAGCTATTAAGATGTGTGATTAAGCCACATTCAATTAGTTTCTACAAACAATTTAATTGATGTTGCAGATAGAATTAACAGAAGGTGATTGTGTGAATGGCTTCGTTGGCTGCAAAACGGGAGAGGCTGTGGCGGGCTCTCTGGGGCTAGGCAGGGGCTGGGCGTGAGGCTCGAGGCCTGCCCACCAGCCCTTCCTCTGCAGCCCGGCCCATCCCGCCAGCCCCCGTCGGGAGGCGGGTCCCCAGCACCACTGCCCTCGGGTCTCATGGGCAAGGCTGGGCTAGGCCAGGAGTTCCCGGACGGGCCTTCCTCTCTGGCTCCCTTGGCGCCTCCAAGGGAAGCGGGCAGCTCCGGGGACGGAGGGTCCCTGCTCACTGCTGGCAGCTGAGAAGCTTGCTCAGGTTGGAAAACACGGCAAAGAGGGGACGGAGGTGGGAGAGCTATAGCAACAGGAGGGCGGCGGCCACCAAGGACGGAAACCGAGAGGCGAGCGGCCTCTGTTGGGAGGGAACTCAGGCCCCCGGGGCCGCGCACGTGCTTCGGTTTCGAATCTGATTCGTGTCTCCTGAATGAGAGGCGTCTACAGGGCAGGGAGGCCGCCATCTGCGCGTGCTGGTTGCTCGGGGCATCCAGCAGGTGGCGAGCTGGGAAAGGACGTGCACTTTGACCACAGAGCCAGAGGGCAGCCAGTGAGGGGCTGACGGATGGGGAGGCCATGCTCTCAACCTCCTCACCGTGTCCTGCGGCCCCGGGGGGTGGGGGGGCAGCAGAGGCGGCAGCCTCTTCGATTCACCTCGCAAGAAAGCAGCAACAGCCTGGAAGCGCCTGCCGCCAGACCCTGTCCCGGGCCCGACACACTAAGCCACACACGGTTCACGGGCAGCACGGCGCTGGACGGGACTCCGAGAGCGTCTGCCGCCCAGCCGTGCCGGGCGCGTGGGCTGCCGGCTGCCCCCGCCACACCCACCCAGCCACCTTACTTGCCCCAGTGGTAACTCTCCAGTGACTCGCAGGCAGCCCCGAAGGGAGGCGCTCCCGGCACTACAGAAAACTCTGGGCAACGCTCAGAGTCATGGGCCAAGTCACAGCCCAGCCACTGGCTGGGTGACTGATGATCCGGCAAGCCCCACCGAGCCTCTGCTCTCCAGTTTGTTAAGTTGTGTGTAAAAACAGCAATCCCTCAGGCCTTTACCTTCCCTTCCGAAACCAAAACCGAACACAACACCAGGCACTCTCCTCCCTGTGCCGAGACCCCGCTCCCATCCCTCTCCTCCTTCCTCTGGGGGGGCATGGGACCAGCAGGGGGCACAGTGTGCCCAGCCGGGGGCAGCGTGAAGCAGGAGAAACAGGTAAGGATGCAGCAGAGACGAGGGTGAAGGCCACTGCCACACAGGTGGGGAAACGGAGGCCTCAGACAGGCCAGCTCCCAGCCCAGCAGCCAGGAGGTGCCTGGTCAGG